TGCTCCCTATTAAAACAAGACACACATACACTCATTCCCCATTAGTTCTCAAAACATATTGGGTCAGTTATTTAAACGAAGTCTAACTTAGACAGCGGATTAAGAGACCATTGGACCTCTAGATCTCTTTCTTAGAAAATAAGTGCTTTTCCAGTTAAAGCTACATGGTTTATTGAAATTGTTCACGATAAATGGTGTGTATAGATAAAAGCGTTGGGCAAACTGAAAATGGCTTAGAACGTGGTTTTGTTAAGCATGAACTAAACTCTGTTTAAATAACTGGCCCATTATCTTTAACAGGGTTCGAAATAGGTCCCAACTGTTAGTTCAGGACAAGTAGATTTTGTTGCAGACCAAGTAACTTTTTAAGCTTTACAAGTACTTGCCCAATGGGCAAGGATTCAGTCAGGTCAATCTCTAACGAGGTCATTAAATATGACAAGCCAGAGGTGGCCCCAGGCAAGCAAGACGCAAGTGCTGCTTGCCCAGAAGACAAGTTGGAATTGAACATTTTTCCAACCCCTGCTCTAACCTGAAAATATCAGTCAGTAGAGAAGCCTGAATTTCAGACAGTTACTTCAAGTTGTTTTTACTCCCTCAGTAACGTCTGAATTGACCAGCTGTTAATACCATCCAGCTGTTGTTTCTGACAGGAACTTAAAGAAGCATTTCAGATGTGGCTGTGAGCTATCCATAACTTAATTATAATATTTATTACACATAATCTTTGTTTTCACAATTTTGTTTTACTTTCTATCACTCTGCTAAAATAATAATTTCACTTTTTAGCTGTCAGAGGAAACTCAAAAAGGACTTCACATTGTAAGTATGCCTGAGGCCTCGATGAATTTCTACACCTGTATGACAATGAGCTGAGAGTAGGGATTCAAAAAATCCTGCTAGTTTTGGCAAGTACAAAAAGAATAATAATAATAATAAATTAAATGAATGTGCAACTCAGGTACATGTACATGGTTTTTTTGTTAACTCATTAAAAACTGTATGTTTGAGCTTTCTGCATGAAACTAACTGCCTTGGAGCGTGAAAAAATCTTACAAGTGACAATGTCAAAAACAAAGCTGCTGGGAGAGTGAGTTCGCGGAATGCTGAGTTTGTACCAGAATTTATATAATCGAGTCATGTTATTCTGGCACAAACTCAGCATTTCACTAATTCACTCTCCAGCAGCTGCATTTTTGACATTTTTCCTACAATATCAATCACACAGTTCCATGCAGAAAGCTCAAAATTTATAATTTTCAATATGATTTTAACGCTGTCGCATCTAAGATTTTTCCGCAATATCAATCATATAGTTTCAAGCAGCTGAAAGCTCAAAACTTATGATTTTCCATATAGTTTTAAAGTCTCGATAAGCTATATAAGTTAATCTATAAATTCAAATACCTCACAAACATTGTAGTCTTCGCTGTCCAAAAGCTGGCACAAAGTTGGTAAAAGCTCGGGCCAGTTCGTAAGATCGCCTTTCGCAGCTATTGTGGTGACCAAGATACCGATTGTAGCTCGTATGAGAGGCGAGGGATCGCCTATGGCTTGAAGGCATTCTGATTTTATAAACTCTTTAACTGGATCAGGAAATGTGTGATAATGTGACTTGACGTTATTTTTAAGAATTAAACCCGACAGCGAACGAGTCGGTTCATCTGAAATGGAACAGTAATATAAACATGGTTAATTTCAAACGGAATGATTATGCAGGAAAAAATATTGCCACATGTGATCGTGCATATTGCAAACCGGAACTCGCACTGTAGATTACACAGCTAGAAAGCTTACCTTCGCTTTTTAACTTCGTCAGAACAAATATCAGGTAATTGTTGAAGTCAGGGAATTGGTTCAAGGATTCAAGTTTCTGAAAAGCAATTCCGTTAAGGAATACAACGAAAACGTACTAACTGAAGACATGTTTGATTTCCGAAACTAGCACGTGTGACGCGCAAAATCTTAGCGATGTGACGGCCATTATTTGGTCTAAAACCTTAAAAAATACAGATTTTAACAAAATAACTGGTAGAGTAAAGGATACTTGTTGAACTGCTCTCTGTACTTCATTATTAGGGCTCTGACTTTCTTTTAAAAGCTGTATAATTTGCTGTAAACCGTCTTGGTCTGGTTGCCACGCCATTTTGGTTTTTGCACCGGTTGAAAACCCCTGCATTTGCCGTCGGACACCCCAGCCCGTCGGCAATCTAGTTCGGCCTCGCTCGGATGGCATCGAGCACCGACAACCCAAGGTTGTCGGGTAAAGCTGAGACGTCATTAAAATTTCAAACTACAAAACTATCGATCCTACCGAGATCTACTTTCACGATGATGAGCAGCTGAAACTAATTTTCATACAAATTTTCTCCTCAAAAGGGTTCTTGGTTTTGTGATAGAGTACGCTTGAATTTCTACGCTTTTGCGTGAGCCGCCATTTACATGACGGCCAAGAGAGTTGTCATGTAGGTTAAAAAACAAAAAAACTTATTTCAGGGAATTTTGCTATCCAAACAGTTCTATGTATTTGAAAAAGTATTACTTTGATGTTTATAAGTTCTTCGAAGAATAAATTCACACTTTTGTAGCAAACTCGGTAACAGATGTTTCTGTTGATTTCCGTCCGCCGCGTTGGTGCTCAACCGGATGAGCACCAGCATGGCGTCTCCATATATACAAATCTCTATAAATTTGGGTAAAACATTTCTTCGGATATCTCGCATATAGCCTGCGTTGCATGGCGGTTTTGGTTGGGCGCGCTAAGTAATAAAGGCGGGCGAGGGCAGAGAAACCGCGAGGAGATTGGGGCGGGAGCAATTTTATTTTTCTCGCGGCTTCGCCGCTCGTTCTCGCGTGCTTCACGCGCAAATTTCGCGGTCCGCGACTTCGCCGCTCGTGCGCCCGGCTCGACAAAACCGCCATGCTACGCAGGCTATCTCGTATAGGAAATACTCCTCTGACCTGAATCTTGGCGAGGGTCTTTGCATATTTACCTACTTTCATTTCCCAGATTCTGGACTTTATCTATTGAACAGTTTTGATTTTTATTTTGATCTGTTTGAATGGCGTGACACTGAAAACCAGCAATTGTTCAATACTAGAAGGCTTTAACTTGTAGAACAAGACCTCAATACGAACTGAGGCACACACTACCAACGCCGCGGTTTAACTCCGCGGTATGGCCAGTACCTTACGCATGCGCACAACCATATCACCCCGGCAGTGGCAGCCATGGACAGCTGTTTCGTCCTTGTTAGAACTCATCAGCATGGCATAGCCAGCACGGTCTCACTTACGTAAGGTATTGGCCTTACCGCGGAGTTGGTAGTGTGTGCCTCAGTTCATATTGTGATCTTGCTTAACTTGCAGACATATTCTTCTGCGCCAGCTGTCCCAGTCACAAGGCGGTGGAGGGGTAGGCCTGGTTCGAGTAAACTGATTCTCAGTTCGACGATGTCAGTTGATTCAATATTATTTAAGCTACATACCGAGCCTGGGACCAGGCCCCACATTGGGGGAAAAAGAAGAAAAATTTGGCGTTGGCAAAAAAAAAAAAAAAACCCACTCCGGGTTTTTTTTTTCACCCCCAAAAATCCTTTTCTTTTTTATTTTTTTTTTTTTTTAATTCTTTTTATCTTTTTTTTGTATTTCTGTTTCTTCTTCCCTTCTTCTGTCTTCCTGGCGAGTGCTTCTTTTTTTTTATGTACCGAGCCTGGGACCAGGCCCCACATTGGGGGAAAAAGAAGAAAAATTTGGCGTTGGCAAAAAAAAAAAAAAAAGCCGATTTGGATTTTTTTTTTGCACCTCTCGACTCGCTTCGCTCGCCAATTTTTTTCTTATTTAACTCTTCTTTGCCTTTTTCCCCCACTGCGTAGCCTGGTCCCAGGCTAGTACCTAACAGTAAAAGATGCTTTTCTTTACAGATGACAAGGGTTGCTCAGCGAAATGATAAATTTGCTCGTGTTTCGCACCAAAGTCTTCGTTGCGCTGGAACCGTCGATTATTCTTTGAAGCGGCGCTAGGGCATGGTTCAGTTTTGAAGTTTCGCGGTGCCTGGGAGAAGTTTCCCCTATTCCCTACATCAACCAATTGCAAGAGAGAACAACTTTTCACTGGTAAATAGAGTACTAGCTGCTGCACACGATTCGAGCACCAGACCCGCTTTTGTTGATGTTTGCATCAAACAGATTGCTACAGATTGCGCTACAATGTTCTATGAACTAACGTGCCTGCTGCCCGTCCGGAAAAAACCCCTCATAACCTGATCACTCCCGAATGCAGCGCCTGACACTCAACACCTTGAGGGAGAAAGGCTACTAAACTAACAATAACTTGTTACCTGCAGAAAAAAAATTGACAAAAATATAGACAACAAAAGCGAAGTTAGTGTGAAAAGGCAGCAACGCCAGTCTAGAATGACTCCCCGAAACATGAACTCTATTCAGATGTTCCTATGGCTACTGTCCATGAGGACCCGCATACGACTTTTTTTTGCACACCACAGGACGCTGGCGTTGTTAAGGACGCTAGGGTTTGTCAATTGAGTGACAAGCAATAAACTTCCTACGTGCGAAAAGCAATTAGTTTCCTTACCGTTTGGTCCAATCATCAGTGGTCAGTTATTCGATAAAGCGTCACATTTTTTAACAAGATTAAGGCAACATCTGGAGATCATTTCAGGGTCGATATCATTTCGGGGTCAATTTGGGGATCATTTCGAGGGCTGTACACTGTGTACAGATCTGTAGTTCATCACCTATAACGCTACACTACTGAGCATTCGTTGTGATTTGATTTGAAGCTATATATCAACAACCCTAACCCTGAATAGAAGCTAACCGTACCCTAAACAGATGCAACAAGTAGTTTTTCAAACTCTGTGTCTAATAGTTTCACTTGTTGAGGTACGCAGCTCATGTCAGTGTCATGTCAGATGACACATAGTTCTTCCCTTATTCTGCATCTTGTTCCGCTTGTTTTTCTTCACTTATAATCCCCCGTTATAGCACGGTCATTTCCCTGAACCTCAACAACAATACGTTATTATTCTCTTGATCTGCAACTTTGTCGAGAATTGTTCTCTTCCTTCCTCTAAGTTTCCTTTTCTTCACAAAAATATCTCTGATGGCCTTTCTGATTTCTTTAACTCGCAAAGTACAAACGAGTGGATTAACAGAGGAATTTAATAAAGCCGCAGTTTCGGCCCAACTATAATAGTTATAGGTTTCAATATATCCGATAATGATTTGATGTAATTTGGTTACAAGAAGGACAGGTAAATTCAAGGCAAAATAAATTGCAACTATGGACGTAAGATTAATTGCGAGCTTGATTTGCATTTGCCTTTGCAGGGAAGAGGTTCCTGGGTTATGTCGTTTGATTTGACGTTGGTGGCGAAGACTTATGAGGAGAATTTTACACTGAGCTGAAAATGCTATGACAAGAGAAACCAGCAACAAACACAGATGAATAAATTTGAAGATATGATTATTAGCCCACTGGAGACACGTGAATAATAAGTTGACAAGCCAAATGAAAACGGCTGTTTTTGAAACGCGCTCGCGTCGAACAAGTTCTTGAAAACGAAAAGAATACAGCAACGTTAATAACCTTTCGCAGCTTATGGCGCACAATGTCATAAATGATACTCCGTAGCATATGAAAAATCCCATCGAGTATATCATCCTCACAACACAGGGAACAAAGCCATATGTGTTCTCAAGAATCCTGAAAATAACGAAGCTTGGTTGAACTATCAGACCAACAAGTAAATCAGAAATGGCCGGGCAAGTAAGCAGCAGATTGGAGGGCGTTTGTAAAGAGTATTTTCTCAAAATGACGAACACGATGAAGAAGTTTGCTGTAACGGCGAAAGGCGATTAAACCGCATTTATTATACCTGTTAGTAGATTGCTTGTTCTCCGTTGTTCAATTTTATCAAATTCTGCGTCTGGAAGATGAAAGCAAGAGTTACCAAGTGGATACACCGTTAAAGTAGCCGTTGTAGTACTGAAGTTCTCTGAAGTAGAGTATTCCATTTCATTTAAGCCTGGCGCTGGTTCAAATGCAAGTCCCACTCACTTTGCATACTGGACACTAAAATAAATGGTCAGGTGGTTGAATAATTATAAGTCGCACTTTCTGTGCTTAAACACTCAAAACTTGGAAGCAATTAAGATTGCAATCAGTCTATCAAAATATGTCAGCGTTATATTCATGAACAAGACATATTATTTGTACTTCTGTGCCTAAAATGTACACATTCAAAATAAATGTCTATTTTACCCTTGTATTGTGAATCCTCTAAAGACATAAACTCGATGTTCAAAAATGAATGTTTTAAAAGGCTGCAAGCAGAACAATTGTGGCTGTAAAGCTGGTGTGGGCTGTCATAAAGTCTATTAGACGCTGATTAAAATGTGAACAAGTGTGATAATTATAAAAGCATCAACGTCAAATTACCGTTAGTCCAACATGTTGCCATGGAAATAGTCAAGCAAATGCTGTACCCTAAAAAAAAGACTAATTTTTCTGTCGGAGTTTTATGTAGATTAAACAATTCGCTGCTTCAAAACAAATTGAAAGTATAAAGGGTTTTTCTTCCTGTTTTAACAATAATATGGTGCGATGCAATTCCAAACGGCAAACGTGAGATTCAAGTTGTGGAGAAATTTGGAAAATGAGAAATGAGCAGATAAAAACAGCTTAAAACAATTTCTATGGATAGAACTGGCGTGAATCTACCGAATTTCGTGCAGTTTTAATGAACAGTTAACGATAAGCAAATGGAAAACTTGGTCACGTGGTAAAATTGCCGTAAACGCGTTTCTTCATGTCTCTATTACATTTAAGGTGACTCGACCCAGTTTTTTTGGGGGGTTACCATCCTACTTTGAAGCTCTCTGGTATCCCCACCTTTCCTTTTATCGTAAGTCTAACACATAGAATGGATAACATATAGATCAATCTACAATATAACATAAAATTTGGGGCGACTGTGACATTATCTTCTATAAGCCCAAGCCTGAGTAAACATTGAAGATTTTTAGCGTTTTTGCTGAGTTTGTGCTTTGGGAGTTGTCTATTGTTTCTAGTCTGTCATTATACAGCATTCTTGTTCAGCACGCGTGCAATGACCGCGCTTGGCTGACTTCCGAATGCTCACCGAGATATTATAATTTTGGTACAGTGAGACAGGCCATCACGTGATACATAGAGGTTTAACTCACAATTTTTCATCAATTCTTGTGCTTCTTGTGCCTTTGCAAAAAAATCAAGAAGTGCTACACACTAAATCTACTTAATATTAAAAAAATATCATTTTTTCATAGGTTTAATGCAAGCCAATAATTAAACCAACTCGTGACGGGAATCCCTTCTATTTTCTCATACTAAATTATNGCTGAGTTTGTGCTTTGGGAGTTGTCTATTGTTTCTAGTCTGTCATTATACAGCATTCTTGTTCAGCACGCGTGCAATGACCGCGCTTGGCTGACTTCCGAATGCTCACCGAGATATTATAATTTTGGTACAGTGAGACAGGCCATCACGTGATACATAGAGGTTTAACTCACAATTTTTCATCAATTCTTGTGCTTCTTGTGCCTTTGCAAAAAAATCAAGAAGTGCTACACACTAAATCTACTTAATATTAAAAAAATATCATTTTTTCATAGGTTTAATGCAAGCCAATAATTAAACCAACTCGTGACGGGAATCCCTTCTATTTTCTCATACTAAATTATCATATCTCGGTGAGCACTCGCAAGACAGCCAAGCGTGGTCATTGCACGCGTGCTGAACAAGAATGCTGTATAATGACAGCCTACAAACAATAGACAACTCCCAAAACACAAACTCAGCCAAAACGCTAAATATCGTCAATGTGTACTCAAGTTTGGGCTTATACAGGATAATGTCACAGTTTTTCAATGACAATGAAATTCAGAGTCCGGGTAGTTAGTTGATCAATTGTGGCCCTGAAAGAATTTGAAGGAAAAAAAAACTACGAATTTTTAAGAAAATGCTTTTTTCGTGAGAAGGACGCTTAAATGCTGACAAACGTCAACAAATAGCGAAAACCAGCCTCGTACCCAGGCCTGTTCGCGCTATCCGAGTGACCAGAAAAGGCTTGGAACCGAGCGCGATAGCGCGAGTCCTAGGCGAATTTTCCCGACAAGCTTGACAGGTGACGTCACATCCGAAATCGCCGAGGACGACTGGGAACGAGGCTGAGCGAAAACTATAATTTCTATATGCTTGCTTTGCTCGACATCGCGCGCATTTACAAGGCCCTAAAGCGTTTTGCTGACTTGCAAGGACCCATCTGTTATAACGATGCCCAAAATAAAGGGATGAATCTCACAGTTTATTAGATATAATCATGTAAAGTTTGCTTATCATTTTCGCATAAATTATGACCTAAATTTGGAAACTGCTGAATTTCTCGAATTGGGTCTTTGCGATTTTGGCGAAGCTCTGTTCAACGCAAGGCACTAATGCGCACTATGTGTAGCCGAGAGATTTTCACGAACAAATGCCGGCAACAGCAGATTTTCGACTCAGACCTCAAAGGGGCGTGGCATTATAACCACGTGACATTTACTTCGATCGCCAAAAATTTTATGTTATATTGTAGATTGATCTATATGTTATCCATTCTATGTGTTAGACTTACGTTGAACGTAAAGGTGGGGATACCAGAGAGCTTCAAAGTAGGATGGTACCCCCCTCAAAAAACTGGGTCGAGTCACCTTAAATCAGCGTCAATTTGTCATTTTTATATTTAACAATTAATGAATGAGGCTGAGTATCTTATGAAGAATTAAGGAGATCGAGGAAGGTGTTATCCGTGCCTATCCGTGGGTGTTAAGTTCATCTTTAATAGTGCACGTTTAGGTTTGTCCAGCTCCTTAAATATTCTCCAAATAGCAGATGTCGCCCTTCGAGTTGTCTTCTTGATGTTCTTCCCATGTTTTTAGCTATGTTTTCGCCTAGTTCTTACTCTTGAAACGAGTGAAATGTCCGCCATTTTTCAAAACGGTCCCTTAACCTGCGAAAACGCTGCATTTTTGACGTCATTTCCTCGTTAAACACAAAATTCTTCCAAATTTGGTCATCAGTAACTGGTTATGGTGAATTAAACGAGTACTTTTAGCCAATCAGAATCGGGAAAATATTTTGAATGAATAATAATGGCTATTAACTCTCCATCAATTCAGGAAGCTGACAGTTTAAAGAGATCTGTGTGACAGTTTCATCAAATAGAAGATAAACGAAAGGAAATACATTGAGATATTCGGATAGCAAAACAACCATAAAAACGGCTTTTCAGTAATGATCTGAGAGGTTACCGAAATCACAAACTAGAGACAGGGGAAGCAAATTGATTCGCGGACGTGAACCATACAGCTTCTATGTTGTATGAGCAAGAAACGAAACAGCCTTCCGTTCCTTTTTCACAGATATCTTTAGAGAAATGCTTCGTTCTGCCTGATCCAGTCTTCAACAAAGTTATGGCTCGTCATGCGACAAATCTCATAACAGCCGCAATCAACGGGCTGTGTTCACCTTTTGCTGTGATTGCAAAAAGTTCCTTGTGGTGTTGTTGATCGCAAGAAAAAGCGCTCTTCATACGCCATCAAATGTTCGCCTGGCATGCCTAATGGCGTTTTCTGATCTGTTAGTAAGTTTGGTGGTTCAACCCTGCTATTTTGTGTACCGTCTCTTGCAGAACATCCTCCATTTTGTACCATGCGGGTTGAGAAGCGTGTACTCTGAGAGCTTTTGGGTGTGTTATGAAGTCTAATTCTTAACTCTTAGTGCCATAAGTCTTGAACCGTATGCAGCTTTTTAGCTAATACCATTTGCTTGAGAAAATTTACGACGCAGGTGAATTTGAGTTTACTAGATTGGACAGTTGTGGGAAAAAGCAGTAACTATAGTCAACAGACGACAACCGTTACAGGAAATGAAAGCGGATCTGACAACCTCCAGTAAGAGATATTTTGAGAAGCAGTAAAAGACATAAACAGTTGCCGACCCAGACCCTGAGATAAGTGGGGGGGGGGGGGGGGGGGCCGGGCCCAAAAATTTTTTTTTTGGCCCCTCGGGCCCTCTTTTTTTTTTTTTTAAAAACCCGGGGGGGGGGGCCCCCCCCGGGTGTCCCCTGTAAAAAAAAGAAATGAAAAATTTTTTTTTGGGTAAAAATTTGCTTTGTAACACGTGTGTTTGGTAAAAGTAA